AGGGAGGAAGAGGAAGAGGAGTCAAGGAGACAGATCTTCACACACTCCATAATATTTTATTTTATGACGTCATCAACACTTTGTTTACACTGTGGTGTTCAGGACCAGTGTGGACCAGTGTGGACAGTGTGTGGACAGTGTGTGGACAGTGTGTGGACAGTGTGTGGACAGGGAGTTTCATCCATGACTAAACATTTAAAACAATTATTTACAAGTGAAACTTTAATGAAAACAAACTTCAACAACAACCAGTCCAGTTGTTTTGATGAGCCACCAGGGGGCGACTGGAAGACTAGGTAAAAAAAGTCCAGGACTAAATTGAAGTCCACACTGGTTCTGGTCCAGTTCCGTGAACTTCAGACCCTGATGATGTAGGAGTCCGAGTGGGTCACATATCTGACCCAGCGCTGAGAAGGTCCCGGCTGGACCGGGGTCAGACGCAGGAAGCGGATCTGCAGCCCAGTGGAGGTCAACTTTGGCAGCTCAAAGGTCAGACCCACAGGACCCACCTCCAACATGGAGGCCGAGCTGAGACCAGGGACGTCCAACTGAGGGACGACCAGAGACATGAAGACGGACCAGAAGTGGGTCAGAGTGTGTGTGTGTGTGTGTGAGTGTGTGTGTGTGTGTGTCCCCACCTTGAACACTGCTGACAGCTGAGTCCCTCCACTGCAGCGGGGGACGGTCCAGACCAAACTCCTGCTCTGAGGCTTCAGCTCACACCTCTGCTCTGGACTGCTGAGCTCCTGAGACAGACTGACCACATGACCCAGGTCAGGTCAGCAACCAGGTCAGCAACCAGGTCAACAACCAGGTCAACAACCAGGTCAACAACCAGGACAGCAACCAGGTCAGCAACCAGGACAGCAACCAGGTCAGCATCCAGGTCAACAACCAGGTCAACAACCAGGACAGCAACCAGGTCAGCAACCAGGACAGCAACCAGGTCAGCATCCAGGTCAACAACCAGGAGGTCATCACCTCCATCAGACAGATGAAGAACTTACACCATCATCATCATCCATCATCATCCATCATCAACCATCATCCATCCATCATCATCCATCTCCATCATCATCATCATCATCATCATCATCATCATCATCATCATCATCAGGACCTTCAGTCCATAAGGTCACACACAGAAACTGGAATCATCCAGAAGTTCTCTGACCTCTCCATAATTCTACTCATGACTTCTTACCCCCCCACTGCCCCTCCCCCCCAC